CTGTATGATTTCCTTCATTAAGTAGTAGATAATAACAACAATAAACAAACACATAGAGACAGAGATTGGATTGGTGGTTACCAGAGGGGAAGGGGGCAGGGAGGAGGGTGAAAGGGATAATTCGGCACATGTGTGTGGTGATGGGTTGTAATTAGTATTTGGGTGGGGAACATGATGTAATCTATGCAGAAATGGAAGTATAATGATGTACACCTGAAATTTATACAATGTTATAAACCAATGTTACTGCAATAAAAAAAAATTAAAAAAAAAACCTTTTCCAAAAATTACCTTCATTCAAAAAGCATTTCTCTCATACAAAGAGAATATAAATTCATCAATAAATAGATGTGAATTTAAGACCACTTCCATGACTACTCACATAGACAGAATAAGACAACCATGAATAATTAACCAAGAAAAGAAATAAACAAGATAAGTCATGAACACAGTTGGGGTAATAATTATACAGAAAAAGACATACATAATTATATTGGCAAGAGATATATGGTTGATTTATATTTGAAATCACTCCACGGTGACCTAGGTGTACTGAGCTGTCATCCACATTCATAATATATAGGTAAAAAAAACCAATTAATTAATTTTGGGAACGTACCATAAAAAGGAAGCTCATTGTTATGGAATTGCAAAACAAGAATAACAGAAAATTTATCCTCCAATTTCTGAATACAATATAGATATACTACTAAAAAATAATCTTTCTATATAACTATAATTTTCAACTGTGACTGTGCACTCTTGAAGAGCAAGAATTTTTAATCATTGGCATGTGTTGCATGGCACAAAAATATCACAGAAAATATACTACCATCGTTCATAAAAGCTCAAATGAATAATTTGAATGAGGTAAGCATTGAAATGACATTAGAGAAATGTATTCTTTTGATTAACATACTACTGCTCTTCTCAATCAAAATGTAAAGGTTGTAATTAACCTTTTAGAAGAAAAAAAACATTCATTTATAAATAAGGAATAAAATGAAAGTTGTAAAATATGCAGAAAATTACTGACATATAAAATAAACCAGGGGCCGGTCCTGTGCCTTAGCGGTTAAGCGCGCGCGCTCCAAACTGGCAGCCCGGGGTTTGGATCCCGGGCACGCACCAACGCACCGCTTCTTCTGCCATGCTGGGGCCGCGTCCCACATACGGCAACTAGAAGGATGTGCAACTGTGACGTACAACTATCTGCTGGGGCTTTGGGGGGGAAAAAAAAGGAGGAGGAGGATTGGCAATAGATGTTAGCACATAGCCAGACTTCCTCAGCAAAAGAGGAGGATTGGCAGATGTTAGCTCAGGGCTGATCTTCCTCACACACACAAAAAATAAATAAATAAATAAAATAAACCATTGGGATTAAATTATACCATGATTCAGATACACATTGAGGAAAGCGGATGAAAAACCTAATCACTGCCTTTGCCTGAAGCAAACTTAAATTTATGAACCAAAGAATTTCATAAATATAGAGTTACCACTGATTATCTAAATCACTTCTTACCAAAGATGGGCATTCAAGTGCATTACATCAGAACTTTTGTATCTAAAATTAAAGAAGAATTTGACATAGAACTAACCAGAAAGTGAAAGGATATAGGATACAGTTCCAGGAAGCTTCATACTAAACAAGATATAATTATAAAATGATAGTTATTAAGAAATAAAATAACAATTCAGA